GTTAGAAACACTAAGATTAAAATTTTGAAATTTTTTCTTCCCCTATGCTATCCCCATGTTTCATTTCAGGAAGGAATACATGTTTGTGTAGTGAGTTCCTAATGGAACAGAGAACTTGAGTCAATGCAAAAAAGAGAGAGTGCAGCGAGAGAGAGAAAGAAAGGAGAGAGAGAGAGAAAGAGAGAAGCTTGGATTTATGTTCATTCAGAAAAGAGCCATGAATGACATTGAAATCAATGAGTGAAGTTAGAAGTGGTAGAATATTTTAATTCTGGGAAATTGTCATAAAATTAATGGAAACAAGTTTCACATTTGGAGAAGAGTCTGTAATAACAGAAATTATTTTATTTTCAGGGAAGACTAAATTAACTTATTTTTGTCTCTCCTCCAATGCCACAGAAATCTTCGTTGTTCATGGTGTTGCTATAGAAGTCGTCAGTCTCTCAGAGCTTTCAATCATCCTGGGGATGAACATCACCCTGGTCAGTGAATTCATTCTGGTGGGATTCCCCACAGCCCCATGGCTGCAGACCTTACTGTTTTTTCTCTTCCTTTTGGTCTACCTGTTAGTGATATTAGAGAATCTTATCATCATGCTCACTGTTTGGATCACTGGCTCCCTCCATAAGCCCATGTACTATTTCCTGAGTAGTTTGTCTTTCCTGGAGGTCTGGTATGTCTCTGTTACTGTCCCAAAGATCCTGGATGGATTCCTCCTGCAGAGATGGCACATCTCCTTCACAGGCTGCATGACCCAGCTCTACTTCTTCATCTCACTTGCTGGCACAGAGTGCGTGCTCTTGGCAGCCATGGCCTATGACCGCTATGTGGCCATCTGCCACCCTCTTCGATACCCAGTCATCATGACCACAGGTTACTGTGTACAGCTAGTGGCCTTCTCCTACACGAGTGGTTTCATGGTCTCTGTCTTCAAGGTCTATTTCATTTCCCATGTCACCTTCTGTGGCTCCAATGTCATGAATCACTTTTTCTGTGATATTTCACCAATCCTCAAACTGGCATGCAAAGACATGTCCACAGCTGAGCTAGTGGACTTTGCTTTGGCTATTGTCATTCTCATCTTCCCTCTCATTACCACAGTCCTCTCCTATGTCTACATTGTCTCTACTATTCTGCATATACCCTCCACTCAGGGAAGGAGAAAAGCCTTTTCCACCTGTGCATCTCATCTCACTGTAGTCATAATTTACTATACAGCCATGATTTTCATGTATGCTCGGCCCAGAGCTATTGCATCCTTTAATTCTAACAAGCTAATATCAGCTGTGTATGCAGTCCTCACACCCATGCTAAACCCTTTCATCTATTGTCTAAGAAACCAGGAAGTCAAGAATGCTATCAAAAAGACCCTGGTGGGTGGCCAGTGCCTCTTGCTCAGCTGAAACCTGCTGCCTTAAGAAATAGGCAGTGTCTCATGAAGGATGCCATTCCCGTGATAATTATCACAATCCTATGTTCTATTATCCCTGCCCCTTAGACCTTGATTCCTAAGGAAATTACCACATGCAAAAATTAAGCATAAAATTTAAAGGAGGATGAGTAGCACACTTGATTGATAAATATAATGTTAACCATAAACTATTTTATATACTATAGATATGAAGTGTTTTAAAATAAAATATAATAATAAATATTTAATACATTTCTAATTTATATTCTAATTTCAATTTCCACCATTTTTGTGATGTACCCTATTTGGTTTAACATCTGCTTTAGATTTGCAAGGTTTAGAGATACAACTCCTCAAATATATGCTCTCAAGTCTATGTATCAATTCCAACCAACTTTGAATAAACTCCGTGTTCTATGCCTTTCTTACAGTATGGCCTTGATTATTCTGTCTTTATTTTTTTTTTATCTTGCTTATGGTGAACCTGTATGGGTGAATATATTTTGTGATTAATAATATTTTTTCAAACTTGAATTAATAATATAAAATATTTTATTGTTTGTTAATATTTCACACTGAACAGAGTCAGAAAGCATCTCCAAATCTTTTCTGGATGAAGTGCATTTTAAAAACAATAGTTATCCTGTAGTTGGAAAATTTGCCATTAAAAGCTTTCATAGTTAAGAAATGTAATGAAAACTGAGAAACTGACAAATCAAAGGAAACTGAGAAAGCACAATGAGTAAGTAGAAAGAATGTGATGCCTTGGATAAGATCCTGGAGCAGAAAAATAAGAATATGGAGAAAACTTGTAAATCTTGAATAAAAATGCTGAAAAATGAATTGTTTACTAGAAATGTATATTTTTCATTTTTTTGGTTTTGACAAGTTTACATGGTACTGTAAGATGATAATGTTAAAGAAAACAGAAACTGGGAAACAGCATATGACAACTATCTCTAATGTCTTTGAAATTTTTCTACAAATCTAAAATTATTTTTAAAAAGTAAGAGTATGGACATTTGGTGCAGTGGTTAAAGATCTTGCTTGGCACACTCACAGCCCATATCTGAATGCCTGGGTTCAAGTCCTGGTTCTGTTTCTAATTCCGGCTTCCTGCTAATGCACACCATAGGAGGCAGCAGGTGATGGCTCATGTACTTGGGTCTCTGCTTCCATGTGGAAACCTGGCATGAATTCCAGGCTCCTGGCTTCAGTCTTGCTCAGCCCTTACGTTGTAGGCATTTTAAGAGTGAACCACAGGATGAAGGATCTGCCTCTACTATTCACATAAAATTTTTAAAAATAAAGAAATGCATTATTGTTTTCATTATTGGTCTTTTTATGCCAAATAACTGAAAAAAATTTTGCTGATTTCAATGCATTCTATATTAATAAAGGTATTCTGTCCATTCATTTCTTTGATACAGTGATGTGCATATAAACATCTATGCTTTTAGCTGAAAAACTCTTTGAATTTATACTTAGTTCTCATGAAATTCATGAATTCATGCTTTTGATTTAGCTGATTGAAAAGACAGAGTTAAAAGAAAGAATAACTGACACATAGTTTCTGCCTTATACATTTTTTATTTTAAAACCTAAAAGCAGTATCTAGTGTGAGCACATATTTATTTATTTATTTATTTATTTTTATTTGACAGAGTTATACAGTGAGAGAGAGAGAGACAGAGAGAAAGGTCTTCCTTCCGTTGGTTCACCCCCGAAATGGCCACTATGGCCAGAGCTACGCCGATCCAAAGCCAGGAACCAGGTGCTTCCTCCTGGTCTCCCATGCGGGTGCAGGGGCCCAAGCACTTGGGCCATCCTCCACTGCCCTCCCAGCACAGAGCTGGACTAGAAGAGGAGCAGCCGGGATAGAACCCAGTGCCCATATGGGATGCCAGTGCCTCAGGCGGAGGATTAGCCAAGTAAGCCACTGCGCCGGCCCCACTGCTTCATACATTTAGCAACTCAGAATATATCAACTCTTGAAAGCAAAATAAGCTCATCTTTTAATTCCATTTTTCCTTTTTATTTTTATTGAAAGCAGGGATGGAGCTTTTAATACCATATAACATGAGATTCGTGACAAGGTCGTAAATGAGGAAGGAAGGGCATATTATTTAATATGTAGGGTATATAGTAAAACAACATTTATAAATAGATATATGACACCACATATTTTTATTCTATATACATATTGATTTCTTTCTTTTTTTCTCATTTAGAGTTTTTATTTCATATTAATATTTTCTTTTTTTTTGAGGATTTTAAGCCTGTTTTATTTCACTTTCTTTTTTTTTAAACTTTTATTTAATGAATATAAATTTCCAAAGTACAGCTTATGGATTACAATGGCTTCCCCCCATAACGTCTCTCCCACCTGCAACCCTCCCCTTTCCCACTCCCTCCCCCTTCCATTCACATCAAGATTCATTTTCGATTCTCTTTATATACAGAAGATCAGTTTAGCATATATTAAGTAAAGATTTCGACAGTTTGCTCCCACACAGAAACATAAAGTGAAAAATACTGTTTGAGTACTAGTTGTAGCATTAAATCTCAATGTACAGCCCACTAAGGACAGAGATCCTACATGAGGAGTAAGTGCACAGTGACTCCTGTTGTTGACTTAACAATTTGACACTCTTGTTTATGGCCTAAGTAATCACCCTAGGCTCTTGTCATGAGCTGCCAAGGCTATGGAAGCCTTTTGAGTTCACCGACTCTGATCATATTTAGACAAGGCCATGGTCAAAGTGGAAGTTCTCTCCTCCCTTCAGAGAAAGGTACCTCCTTCTTTGATGACCCGTTCTTTCCACCGGGATCTCACTTGCAAGGATCTTTCATTTAGTTTCCTTTTTTTTTTTTTTTTGCCAGAGTGTTTTGGCTTTCCATGTCTGAAATCAGCTCTTGTCCTGATGGTTGATGTACAATGTAATACTTTATCCATGTTAGTATTTTTTTTTTGTTCTAGTACCATTGGTTGAACTCTGTAATTAACACATATTGATTTCTAAATATGAGAGCAAATGTGGATTTTTATCTTTCTGTGTCTGGCTTATTTCACTCAGCATCCAGACTTCCAATTTCATTCATTTTGTTACAAATATCAGGATTTTTTATGGCTTAGTAATATTTGATCATGTATTTATACTGTATTTTTTTAAGTTTTTTATTTAATGAACACAAATTTTATATGTACAGCTTTTAGGAATATAGTGGTTCTTTCCCCCATTCCCGCCCTCCCCTACCACTCCCATCTACCTCCTACTCCCTCTCCCATTCCATTTGATTCACAGAGGGTAGAGATTATAACTAAGCTTTTTTTATTCTAGAGAATAAAGCACAGTTCTCACTAAATAATGAAAGATCACTGAAAGTAGAAAGTATACTTTATATAAAAAATTAAAAAGGATACATGTCTCTATTACTGTAACACATTTAGCTTTCTTAAAATGGTTTCTGTGTAATTGGATGTTACATTACCTTGTACATAGGAGTAACTGAAAAACACCACACCATGCCAATAGGTATAGGTAAACATGATCCAGGATGAAACAGGAATTGACATAGGTGAACAAAGATGCAGCTTCCTAGGTTCCCTGGATGTACACGCAAGCCAAGGCAGTACACACCAAATTTCCCCAGAGCCAGAATGGGTGGAATGTAAGTTGTTCCCATGGGAAAAGATATGAGATAAATAGAGGTAAGGGCTGGATATATTACACTTTCCCTGCTCCCCTCTTCTTGCTTTAGAGTGGCAATTGCTGCCATGCACACTGAGCAAGGGTCACACACAGTTCTCTCAAGAGTGTAAGAGTCTGAAAACCAGTTTCCTTTCCCATGATCCGTGTGAATGTCTGAAGACTTTTTCTATTACTAGGCAAGGACAAGTGGACCATGGTGAGTGTTTAGAGATACTAAGATATGTTGGTCAATTCCTGAAGAAAGTTCCTAAGATGACAAGACAAGGAAGGCCTTGAGAAAATGTCTAGACAGATCATTTTGGACAGTAGAAGTATTTTGGGGAATAAAATCAGAAAGAAAACTGCAGTATATCTTTACTTCAGATTTGGGAAGTTTGGGCAGATCTGCATCTTTTGAGTGTTAGACAAAAGCACAAAGGATATGTTTTTTTTTGTTTGTTTGTTCAAGAGATATCTAGTAGTGTTGATGTTGACTGTTCAGAGAAAGCACATTCAGCATTGGTGTTCTCCATTTATAACCAGGACATCCATACTAAAGTGAGTTCTATACACTAGGATATCATAGACAGTCCAGAGCTCAGTGTTTTTTGTTCTTTAACAAGAAAAATAGAATGTGATAGTTTTTTTTAAATCTACATGCTTCAGATTAGAGCCTTCTGGGGGGTACATTTGGTGCAAAAGTAGAGGAAGTATGAGGGAAACATGATTGTGTTTGAGTAGTGAAAATAATTCATTGAAGATTGAATTAGGAAGAAGGCATGACTGGTTGTAGGATTTTATAGACAATTAAATTGTTTCTCCGGGAAAGTTGAGTTGTTTTATCCTCTGAAGCATAACAGGAAAAATTAGTGAAAGAAAGAAAATTAATGACTGTATTTATGAGAATATGTGAATGAAAACATGTGAGCACATGTAATTGAATAAGCTTCTAGGAGCCTGCTGTGACATAACAGTTAAAGTTTGTAGGGGAAAACTACAGTTTGAGTCCTATGTTAAGTATCTTCAACATGCTATCACATTTAATTTTCACAAAATAACCCAGTAAGGTAGGCATCATTGTATTTTTTCTCAGTTTATAGGAGAAGGCATGAAAATAACATTAAATGTTAAGTGATCTGGTCAGTGTGACCAAGCTACTAGGTGATGCAAGAAAGAAAGAATCCTGGCTCTGACTCTTAATTCCATTTTCTTAGATTCTTTTTAAATTTTTTATTAATTTAAAGAGGAAAGATTTCATGAATTTAAAATTCTATGCTGAAGAAATTTTATAGAAAATTGAGTGACTGATGTTGGAGTTGTGGATTGTAACACATATTTTAAGAGTAGGAGATTCTATGTTGGTACTGATTCCTGCTGGGTTAGATTGTAGGTAAAATTAGATATTCTTCTCCCACACAATTTCTTTTCCACATTTAAAAGATTTGGTGAAAGACAGCGGAAACTAAGCCAGGAATTCCTTACTAGTAAAACTTACTCAGAGATAAAAGTGTTGACGGGAGACTGAGTCAGAGTTACCCAGCAGAGTGCTGAGCTCTATCACACTATGCTGCTAGAGATAAAGATAGTGTGCCTATAATATATCCTTCAGCCACTCACCTTCAATCCCTTGCCTATGAACTATGAACAAAATGTCTCTAGTTCAAGGGGATATCAGAATAGACTAATCCGTCTAACACTTCCTCTATGCCAAATGCACAACGTGGTCAACAAGAGTTTGGCAGACAGTGAACATGGTTTAAAGACAGGGCCTGGTTCCAAGATTAAGTGGGACATTTAATAAAATTGATTCATATAACAGTTGTGTCAGCTCAAAAAGTATTCTGGCTTTCAGTCTTACAAGATCAACCTGCCTTTGTACTGCATTCGTGAGCCTGCCTTTGAACCAGAACCTGATACATTTGCTGTTACTTGGAAACACTGGCCCGCCAAGTAAACTGAGACTGGGGCTCATGTCTAATGTTCCCAGACACTGTGGATATGTTTGTCATGAAGGTACCCAAGGTATGCAAGATATGACTATGTCAGAGATGTGCAGCTAAATAGACATGTGCCTCCTTCCAACAAAGATCTAAAGATCTCTTTCTTCTATTACTGACCTATTTCCTATAGATCTGTAGATCTGAGAGCTACAAAGGATTTACCAATTAACTTTTGTTGTGTTTGCCAACCACCAGACTAGGCATCTGTTCACAAACATGAAGGATAAGGTCTTGAGATTTGAAAGATTTCAGTGTGTGTTGCAGGAGGCAGGTGGTGGGGAATCTCCATGCATGAAGTTGTCATGCACTGGGAAGCAAATGCTGAAGAGGCATTGCAGAAGTTTTGTAGATGTCTCCTAAATGGTTCCTGACTCTTAAATCAATGGATTAGGGAAAGAGTATAAAAGGAAGAGGCAAGATTATGTACAAAGTCACAGGTGTGAAAGAGATTATAGTTTGCTTGTGGATCCAAAGCTATTTGTGTATATCTAGAGCCTGGAATACTGTTTAGAGGGTTATAAAAGATGAGGATGGAATGTAAGTCCAGATGAAAATGTGAAATGCTTTCTGTGTGTGAAAACAATAATGTTTGCATTTTTATGTGAAGTGAATGAAGAAGTCATGAGGAAATTTTCTAATAATTATTACCATACAAAAATTTCTGAAGACTCTAATTTGAAGAAAATATGTTGGATCAAAGGACTACAGGCAGAGGACTACCCACATATTAAACTTTTGAAAATTTGCTAACTGATGTTATCATCTATATTTCCTTTAAGGAAGTCCAGTGACTTCTTCAGTTATCAGAGAACTGGAGAAAAATGGAAGAGAAACATGGCTCACTTTGCTGTAGCAAAAGAACCAAGAACTACCTGATGGTTGACATTAAGATCACTATCATCAGGTGAATAATATTTGGGGTGGAAATGCATTTTAATTCTAGGAGACTTTCACTTAAAAAAAAGAAGGAAACTTTTATAGAAATGTGTGCTTTACATTGGAAGAGTCCCTATTAGTATTAAAGACAGAATTATGAGTCTCATTCACAAGGAATATTGAATTGCTGACATATTTTGGTCTCTTCTCTGATGCCATAGACATCTTCATTGCTCATGTTTTTGCTGTAGAAGAGTTCAGTACATCCAAAAGTTTTTAGCCATCCTGGAGATGAACATCACCCTGGTCAGTGAGTTCTTCCTGGTGGGCTTTCCTGGTGCCCCATGGCTGCAGAACCTGCTCTTCTTCCTCTTCCTTGTGATCTATCTGTTAGTGATATTAGAGAATCTTATCATCATGCTCACTGTTTGGATCACTGGCTCCCTCCGTAAGCCCATGTACTATTTCCTGAGCAGCATGTCTTTCCTGGAGGTCTGGTATGTCTCCGTTACAGTCCCAAAGATGCTGGATGGATTCCTCCTGCAGAGACGGCACATCTCCTTCACAGGCTGCATGACCCAGCTCTACTTCTTCATCTCACTTGCTGGCACAGAGTGCGTGCTCTTGGCAGCCATGGCCTATGACCGCTATGTGGCCATCTGCCACCCTCTTCGATACCCAGTCATCATGACCACAGGTTACTGTGTACAGCTAGTGGCCTTCTCCTACACGAGTGGTTTCATGGTCTCTGTCTTCAAGGTCTATTTCATTTCCCATGTCACCTTCTGTGGCTCCAATGTCATGAATCACTTTTTCTGTGATATTTCACCAATCCTCAAACTGGCATGCAAAGACATGTCCACAGCTGAGCTAGTGGACTTTGCTTTGGCTATTGTCATTCTCATCTTCCCTCTCATTACCACAGTCCTCTCCTATGTCTGCATTGTCTCTACTATTCTGCATATACCCTCCACTCAGGGAAGGAGAAAAGCCTTTTCCACCTGTGCATCTCATCTCACTGTAGTCATAATTTACTATACAGCCATGATTTTCATGTATGCTCGGCCCAGAGCTATTGCATCCTTTAATTCTAACAAGCTAATATCAGCTGTGTATGCAGTCCTCACACCCATGCTAAACCCTTTCATCTATTGTTTAAGAAACCAGGAAGTCAAGAATGCTATAAAAAAGACCCTGGGGGGAGGCCAGTGTCTCCCATTTATCTGAGTGCTGCTGTCATGAGGGATAGACCATGTCCCATGCAATATGTCATTCTCATGATATTTATCATAGTGCTGTTTGTTTGTTACAAGCATGGCTCCAAATTTGGGTTTCTAAAGATATTATAGCATGGGGAAAAGTATGAACAAACATTAAAGAAAACTAGAACAATATTATTTGTAACCATTAGCTATTAATAATATTTTTAAAAATTGCAAATATATTCATCATGAATATTGATCTATGGTTTACTTTTTGTTTTTCACGTCCTTTCCTGGTTTTGGATCAAGGTAATGCTGAACTTCCAGAATGAATATTGAAGGGTACTTTCTTTCAATCATTTGGGTTACTTTGAGAAGAAATGCTGTTAATCCTTTCTTAAAAGTTGGGTAGACAAAGGGACAAATACCATATGTTCTCCCTGATCGGTGACAACTGACTGAACACCAAAAAGGAAACCTGTTGAAGTGAAATGGACACTATGGGAAACGGTGACTTGATCAGCATAGCCCTGACTGTTAATGAACAACTTAATACATTATCCCTCTTAGTAGTTTTTTTTATCTGTTCTACTTAATATGACTGGTTTAATTCTGTAATTACCACACAGTTATTCTTAAGTGTTGAAAATTAACTGAAATGTGATCCCTGTTAAACATAGGAGTGGGAATAAGAGAGGGAAGAGATGTATAATTTGGGACATGCTCAAGCTGACTTGCCCCAAATGGTAGAGTTAGAAACATACCAGGGGATTCCAATTCAATCCCATCAAGGTGGCATGTGCCAATGCCATCTCACTAGTCCAAGTGATCAGTTTCAGTTCACAATTGATCATAATGAAAGGACTAAGAGTCAAAGGGAGCACATAAACAAGTCTAGTACCTGCTAACACTATCCGATAGAATAAATAAAGGGGAGAGTGATCAACATGGGAAGTGAGATACTCAGCAGACTCATAGAATGGCAGATGTCCTAAATAGCACTCTGGCCTCAGAATCAGCCCTAAAGGCATTTGGATCTGGCTGAAAAGCCCATGAGAGTATTTCAGGCATGGAAAGCCAAGACACTCTGGCAAAAGATCTCTGTGAGTGAGATCCCAGTGGAAAGAACAGGTCATCAAAGAAGGAGGTACCTTTCTCTGAAGGGAGGAGAGAACCTCCACTTTGACTATTACCTTGTCTAAACAAGATAAGAATCGGAGAACTCAGAGGGCTTCCATAGCCTTGGAAACTCATGACTGGAGCATAGGGAGATTACTGATGCCACAGACAGGAGTGTCAATTGGTAAAGTCAACAACAGGAGTCACTGTGCACTTGCTCCTCATGTAGGATCCTTGTCCTTAATGTGCTGTGCATTGAGATTTAACGCTATAACGAGTACTCAAACAATATATTTCACTTTGTGTTTCTATGGGGGTGCAAACTGTTGAAATCTTTACTTAATGCATACTAAACTGATCCTCTGTAAAAAAAAAAAAAAAAAAAAAAAAAAAAAAAGAAAGAAATCATCAATTCCCAACTTGACCCTCACTGGGATTAAACATGACAATAGGTCTGATCTGATTTCATCATCATTTAAAAAAATCATCTATTATTTTTCACTTTATGTTTCTGTGTGGGAGCAAACTGTTGAAATCCTTACTTAATGTATACTAAGCTGATCTTCTGCATATTAAGATAATCGAAAATGAATCTTGATGTGAATGGAAGGGGAGAGGGAGTGGGAAAGGGGAGGGTTGTGGGTGGGAGGGACGGTATGGGGGGGAAGCCATTGTAATCCATAAGTCGTACTTTGGAAATTTATATTCATTAAATAAAAGTTAAAAAAAAAAAGTTGGGTAGAGTTCAGCAGTCAAGCCCTCTGGTCCTAGGTTTTGTTTTGTTTTGTTTTTGGTGAGATCTTTTATTATTCATTCAATTTCATTATTCATTGGCCTATTCAGGATTTTTACATTATATAGTTCAATTTTGGCAAATTACATGTAGCCAGTGATTTATCTATCATTTCTAGGGTTTCCAATCTGTTAGTCTCTAATGATAATAGTGCCTAATGATATCTTGTATTTCTGTAGTGTAGTGTGATATATTCTTTTTCAATTCTGGTTTGATTTGAGTCTTTTTTTAAATTCTACTTAGTTTTATAATTTGTTGTCATTTCAAAAAATATAGTTAATTGATCTTTTGTATTTGTTCTTAACTTGCATTGCATTTAATTATACCCTGATATTTCTTTCTTTCCTTCTATTAATTTTGTGTTTAGTTTTTCCTATTTTTCTAGGTCCCTGAGATATTATTATGTTGTTTATTTGAAATATATGGCTTTTAAATGTGGGCACTTATTGTTATAAACTTTCTTCTTAGTATTGTATTTGCTTTATTTTACAGGTTTTGATATTTTATTTTTCCATTTTCGTTAGTTTCAAGGGATTTTTAAGTTTCCTTTTTGATTTCCTAATTTACTCTAATTCAAATCCATATTGTTCAGTCTCCATGTGTTTGTATAATTTCTAGTGATTCTTTTGTCAATGATTTCTACAATTTTGGTCAGAAGACATATATAATATGATGTTTAGTTTTGAATTTGTTGAAAATTTTTTATGTCTTATTATATAGCTCATCCTAGAGAACATCCCACTTGCCAATGAAAAGAATGTGCAGTCTGCAACTATTGGATGGAATATTTCAGAAAAGTCTGATAAGTTCACTTGGTTTATGGCATAGTTTACCTCTGATGTTTCTTTGTTGATTTTTTTGGTTAGTATGAAAATAGAGTAATGAAGACTCCCTCAAATACTGCTTTGTAGTTGGTATCTCTGTTTAATTCTTATTTTTGTTTTATAAAATTGGATGTTTCAGCCCTAGATGCACTTGTATGTGCAATTGTTATATCTTTTTGTTGAAGTAATCCCTTGATTATTATATGTGACTGTCTCTACAGCTTTTCATTTAAAATGTATTAAGTCTGATATAAATACAGCTATTTCTGATTATTTTTGGTTTCCATTTGCATGGAATATCTTTTTCCATTCTTTCTCATTGCAGATACTTATAATTATCTTGAAATAATTTAATAACAAAGCTTTTTGTTCTCCTAACATTTTATTAATTATGGTCAGTTACCTGATGGAAGCACAGAGAGGTGCACACCAAGGGTGAGTGTTTGGCAGAGCAATTGAGATGCCACTTTGTACACCCACAGCCCACATCTGAGTAGCTGGGTTTGAGTTTCTAACTCTGCTCTTCCTTATAGCTTCATGCTGATAGTATGCACCCTGGGAGGCAGCAGCTGATGGCTCAAGAAGTAATTGGGCTCCTGCCACCCTCTTGGGGCAGCTGGGTTTAGTTCTTGGCTGCTGGCTTCAGCCTAGCATAGCTCTGGCTGATGCAAGCATCTGGGGAGTGAACCAATGAATGAGAGGTTTCTAGCCTCTCTCTTTTTCAAATCAGTGAAAGTTTTAATAAACAGAAATTATACAAGATTTCAAAGACTGGACACCCAATTAATGTCAAAGTCATTATTAAAGGCCAAGGAGTCTGGCTGTGTAATTTACTACATTAGATTTTCCAAATATCTAAATTCTGTGGTAGTAGCTCTATAGTCAAATACAGTAATAAATATTGATATATGGATGGATAGGTGTAGCAATCCAGTGATGTGTGTGTGTGTGTCTGTGTGTCTGTGTGCCTGTGTGTGTTGATACCTGATAGTAGTGTCCTATGCTTTGTAGTGATTCCACTGAGTTACTAGTGATTGTCATTAATATTAATAATAATATTGATCATTTTACAATCATCTACCAGATTTAGTCTCATGTAATAGCTTATTTCTCATGACACATTTGAAATCAATAGTTTCATGAGAAATGACAAAATTGATACTCCTGCAACTTTTGCAGTTGATATATGTCTAAGCTTGAAGCCTCAACACACCATTATAGTATATCTGGTGTACAAACTAGGTGAAAAACAAAGACACAATTTTCTAAGGCAAATGGGATTGCGAGATATTGAGACATCTCTGACTAAAGAAATAAATAGTGTATGAAAGAAAGTTATACAAAATTTCAAAGAGTAAATATATGAGAAATAACCAGAGAAAGCCATTAGCCATTAGCAAATGGGAATGAGAGATATTGAAACATCTCTGACTAAAGAAATAAATAGTGTATGAAAGAAAGTTATACAAAATTTCAAAGAGTAAATATATGAGAAATAACCAGAGAAAGCTACTCTTACCATCCATATCCTGAACATTTTAAGTAGAATTCCAAAGTTGGTGTCCTATTTTGATCCCTCAAAGTTACTCAACATAAGGGGACTAATAATCTTTTATATGGCTCTTATGATTTTATTCTACTTCTTAAGAATTCTCAGGGTGGGTGTTTGTTTCAATAGTTGGGATGCTGCTAGGGACACTACATTCTATGTTGGAGTGTCTGGCTTCAGATCCCAGTTCTACTTTTGATTACATGCTCCTGCAAATGCACACCAGGGGGTGCAGCAAGTCATGCCTCAAGCATTTGTATCTCTGCCACCCATGTGGGAGACCTGCATTGAGTTTTTGGCTTCAGCCTAGTCCAGCCCCAGGTGATGCAGGCATTTGGAGAGGGAAACAGAGGAGGGAGGAGCTTCCCCTTTGTCTCTGCCTTTTAAATAAATTGAATCATAAATAATAAATAGATAAAATTTTAAAAGAATTATCAACTTAAATTTATAGGACCTACCCATTCTATTTGTTATGATGATGATGATGATGATATATTATTCTAATAATCATGACCCTCAATACTATCTTATCCCTACCCCACCAGCAGCAACTCACGTTTGTTTTTTGCTTATCTTCAATATGGACTACACATTCAAATGGCATTTCTCACTTAATGTTTTCAATAATTACAGAAAAATAATTGTTGCCTTGCTTAACTTGTCACTGATTCATTATTTCTTGAACTCCTATTTGTCAATGTCAAAGTGAATGAGTATATAATGATGAATAAAATAGAACA